TGTGTGTGTGTGTGTGTGTGTGTGTGTGTGTGTGTGTGTCAGAGAGACAAAAATGAAAAGGTTGAGAATGCTGCTGATGACAATCACAGAAAGAGAAAAAACATGACAGCAATCACAACAACAACACCGTCACAAATACCACTTGGTACCAACTCTGACCTCAGTTTTACAGCAAAAGCACATTTAAGTAGCCGGCAGAAAGCGAAACTAACGTAATTATCCTTCCTTTTCTGGGGTAACTGGTAACATTTATCACAGCGGCCACATGTGCCCCACCACAGAGGGGCCACATCTGAGCTCTGCTAGTGGTCTGACCTACTCGGTGGGGCTACAGCCGAGTATGACTAAACAATCACTGAACGAACAACTCTCAGCATTTCCTGTTTGTGGGCAACGATACACAGACTGTATATAAAAGATGGCTGTATCCCAATTCAGGGTCTGCAGCCTTAAAGGCCGCATTTTAAGGCCGATTACGTCACAGCGACGCCACGAAGGCTGTCCCGATTCAAAGGCTGCTCGAAATGCGGCCCTCAAATGTGTCCTTCATTTCCCTGAATTTTAAGGATGTGGCGGTGTAGACTTCGTGGCCCAACATATCCCAGAATGCATAGTGCGGCGGTGGGTGTGGATAATTTTGCCGGAAAAAAAAAACGGCGATAGAGGGACGGCCAAAGAGTTTTAAAAGTAAGTACTGAATATTATGTTATTTATGTGCAAATGTTTAATAACGAAGAACATTTAAACGTTACTGTTGGCCACATGTCGGCAAAGTTATGTGACATTAGCGACGTTTGTACTAACTTGGTTTTAAAGCCTTTACTTTAAAATATGCACCGTTCAATAGTCGACCTTAATCTTACAGAGAATGTGATGATTTTATGGATATTTAAAGTAACCACTGAGAGAAATTTAGTAATGCCAACATATTGAAAGAACAATATTTGTCTCTTATATATATATAACACATTTATATATACACAGTGTCAAAGAAACCTGTCTTTGAGTGAAGATTTAAGGTGACAGGAATATAAATAAATGCAGCTTGAATCTTTACTGAAGCTCAGTATTTGAAACAGAGTCATTCACTGCTGTAATAACTAATACTGGCTGAAATAATAACTTTAATATTGGCCATATTATATTTACATTACCAAAGTGAGATGACTTTAGTCTCATGAACAACATTAGCTAATTGTTATTTACTAGCTAATCTTAAATGACTGTTCAGTACAGAAATGAAGCCCAACAATCATGTTTCACAGTCCCGTGGTCTCAGCCTCAGATACTTATCAAATCACACAGCGCTCGTGTAGAAACAAACAAACAAATGAACAAAATATGTTCTCCTTCATTTCTGTCAAACAAAGCTGTATGACACGTTTCCAGCTGTTAGTATCACGGTTGCTAGGCAACCTGGGCAGCGCGACGGAGGCTAGACCGTCCCATTTCACAAGCCTCGCACTTCTGGCCTTACCGGTCTTTGAGGACGCGGCCCTTGAGGACCGTTAAGGCTGCGTACTTTAAGGCTGCAGACCCTGAATTGGGATACAGCCCAGTCCTACACTCTTCCCACAGCAGGTCCACCTGTGTAGTAGCTGTACAGGGGCCCGATAGTGGATACCGGAAATTTGGCAGTTAAAGTAATTCATGGTAGAAGCAATAAATTGTCAATTTAATGAGCCTGCAACAGCTTATGATTATCTCTGTAACACCATAAACTCTACTGATCTGCTCTTATAGCAAGAGGCATGTTATGCTGAAAGTTAGTGGAAGCTGACGAGACAGTTAGCAAACTTTTTCTTAAACCTTCTTTTCAATAATTTCAATAATTTCTTTTTATGTACAATCCTGAGAAAAAAAATACCACGGTACAGTAACATCAAGAGAAAGGGGTGGGAGCTAAACTGAGCTCATCAGCTAGCAGCTCTCAGACTGATCATCAGAGTAGAAAACCACAAAAATCCTGCAAACAGAGAAGCTACACAGCTTAACAGATTTATTAGACCACCGCCAGACCAAACAAAGAGTATTGGTTATTACCAAAATACATTTTTATGATTGTGTAATGGTTAATTCGACAGTATCTGCAAGCTCTGACGCGCAAGCTTTTAATAGTTATTGTCTTGATCCATGAATTTTCAAATTTTACTTTTACAAAAAGGCAGAAAAGATTAATAAAAAATTAATAATAACACATTAAAGTTACAGAAGAATCAATTTTAGTGGCTGAATGTTTGATGAAATTCAGACTTCTGTGAAAAGTCCAGTGTCTCGGCTCAGATTTGGATACAGTTTATTTGCCTAATAAATAAAAATACATTTTTTGGACAGATTTCTAAAACATTTGTGTGCTCTGTTTTTATAACAGGTGGTCTAACAAAGTCCATTACCCGCTGTGTATCTGGTACATGGCCTCTCCTGGGACTGATGTTCTGGTGATAAGACAGTAATTTAAATAGTGTGTATGTTCAAAGAGTGTGTGATCCAGGTTATTCTGAAGCTACCATGTAGAAATGTCTCCCAGACACATCATAGGAAGGTAATTATAAAGATGACAGCTGTAAGGACACACTGACTAAATGTGTGTGCGTGTGTGTGTGTGTGTGTGTGTCTGTCTAACAGCTAGCTGTGCAGAACAGGCAGACTGCGGCTTTCTCAAGAACAACTTCTCCAACCTGCATCACAGTGACTGAAGTCACGCTCACAGACCACAAATAAAAATTAAATGAAAGCCTAAATGTAAGTTTGTGTTTAGTTTGAGACATTTTGTAGAGAAGATCAAAGACCTGTTTGAGGGCTACGACTTGGTTTTAGGCTTAAAGTAGGTTCAGAGTGAGGATAAGTTGGGGTTTGGCACGTGGTTGTTAGGCTTGTGGGTAGAAGAGCTTAGGATGACAGGATGACAGCAGTGATGCTAGAAGTAATACTAGTAACAGTAAGATTAAACAGTCGCACGAGTTTCCACTGGGACTATGGCAACCTGTTTAAGCATGTTTTTATGTTCAGGATGTTTAATGAATCAAATTCAAGCACAGTTCAATTATTAATATGAGAACATGTAATGAGGCCGATGACCAGCTTCCTTTACACTAACATGGCTGAAACATACTGACCGGAGCTGCTCGCTGCCCATCTGAAAGAACCAACACGTCGGTCAGTTCTGAAAAAGAAATCATCTCCTAACTGACTTTAATCTTTTCAGTTGTATCATTTTTGAGGTTATTTATGAAACTTTATAAACTAGACATTTACACTTAATGTCGGCTGATGTCTACTCCTAAAACAACTGAACTACAGTGGAAACTGAACCTTTTAGATCTTATGTTTTTTTTAAAGTCAGTTTAAATCCCTACAAATGAAGAGCTCAACAAATCTTCGATTTCTGCCCCTACTTTCATTGGCAAAGAAGAACTCAGCTGCAAATACATACGACTTCTCTGTATTTCAATCTTTAAGTTTCACTTAGTCATCTAAACTTTTTTGGGGGTGGACGGCGGCTGAATGAGTGGACGTAGAACAGCCCGAAGCAGGAATCCTAAATTTGCACACTCCACCCAAAGTGCAGACTGGCCCCGCTGTTCTAATAGCACGTCCGAAGAGCCACGTGTTGAAGAAATAATGGCCATGATCACAGCTGGGCGCAGTGCACAGAGGAGACAGAGGAACAGCAAGGATTCAGCACTTTTATTTCATCCTCTCCTCCTCTCTCCCCTCTGGCCTCTGCTGGGGTTGTCTTGCAGCCCTGGTCCTGCTACTGAGTCACGCTGGGCTCTGATGAGCCCTTCGTATTTTTCTTGCGTTTCTTCTTGAGCCGGTAGACATGGAAGGTTTTATTCTGGAATGTTCTGGTAAAGAGAGCGTTGTAAGCTGCCGCGTCCGTCTTGATGGCATCGCAAAAACGAGGGTGGGTGGCAGGGACGAGGTCGGGGTCATCCTCTCCAGGTCCATCCATGATCTGATAAGAGAACAAACGCGTCACCATTAACAGCAACGAGAATGACGGCAGGCTGAAGCCAGCACAATCGAGATAAAGTCCACCGGCAGCAGCCTCTGATTTCACTTTGCTCTGCCAGTTAGATCTGCCATAAAATCTGTATGGATGCTTTAGTGCATTAAGGGCTAAAGTGAGTCTAAATTAATAAATATTCTGCTTTGGGATTATTGATTGCAACATTGATAAAACAGCAGCCAAAGAAGGCTGAACCCAAAGAAAAAAGAGGCAGTGCAGGACATGTGGAGATGCTGGCTTCAAGGACGGATTTTCTTGGAAGGAATAAGATACTCATTAGCAGCACTGAAGGCCATTAACAAAAAATATCAGCTTCTAAAAAGGATCCCACAGAACGGCACTGTTTGCTGGCGAGATGCAACACTTCCAGTTTTAAAAGGTGGTGGGTGGGACTGTGAAAGCTTCTGAATGATAAACTTTTAATGAAAAAAAAGAAAAGGGATATTAACTTTTTGTCAAATATTCAGTCATGAATATTTTATGGTTTCACACACTTGAATTCTGAAAGTGTCACGTTTAAAAACACTAAATAAGCCACAACATGAAAAGCACTGAGCCATGTTAGAGTGGAGCTACGAAAACTATTTTGAGGCTTACAGTGAAACTGTACAGTGTATTAAGGCAGCGGCCCCCAACCCCCGGGCCATGGACCGGTACCGGCTCGGGTGTGAAATTGACGATTTTCAGGGTTTTTATTGTTAACTCTGTTTCCCGGGGTCTTGTGTTATGAATTCATTTTCTATATATTTTCATGTACTTTGTTTTGTAGCCGTGTCTTATTTTGAAAGGAACGTTTATGCGTTACCATAGCGACCAGAGAGGAGGCTGTTACTTTCAATGTTGTTGGTGCATTTCAGGAGGACGCTGCTAACAAAGTTACACAAATACACGGTGAATTATTATATTTACTAAATAGCACCGTCCGTGTCTTGGTCGGATCATTTTCTTTTGTTGTGTTTATCAGCGACGCCTTGAAGGCCGGTCTGTGAAAATATTGTCTGACATTAAACTGATCCGTGGCACAAAAAAGGTTGGGGACCGCTGCATTAAGGGACAGTGTATGGAGTACAAATTAGCTTCTGAGCAATATGTATAAATATTTAGGTTCATAATCACATGCAAACGCTCTGCAGTGGGTATTTGTAATTATTTTGTGATTTCACTTTGCATTTTCATTGGAGTAAGATCATCATCATCATGGCTGGAAACCAAAGTAAGGTTTTCCAGCTGTAAACGACGCCCCACAGGTCATGTGGCTTTGGCCCGGTGAGTTTGAAATGTCTTGATGGCACACGGGGAGATTTTAATGTGGTGGCTGCCTGGTGTGTACAGTAAAGATACAAACAGGCAAAACTTAAAGTTTCCAGGAGAACATCACATTTTATAGTTTGTTATAGTCATTAACACTCGGGGTGTTACAGGGAAAGCACTGGATCACTGAGCAGGAAAAAAAGGAAGGCATCCTTAAAAATGAAAGCAAAAAAAAGATGAAAAGATGCAAAGAAGGAAAAACAAAAGCAGGCAGACAGAAAGACCAGAGGTGATAAAAAAAAAGTAAGAGCTAAATAAAAGAAAGTATGAGAGGAAGCGAAGGACAGACAGAAAGAGACGTAAATCCAGCATTCCTTCAATAAAGCTGTCTAGATGTCAGATGTTGTGTACGCTGCGTGACATTTACGGCGTCGCGAGCACACCCCGACTCTGCGTTTCATGTGTCTTACACGATGCTGGGCCAGACCGAAGCTCGCCTCGCTTCTGGTAATCCAAATAGCCGGCGAGCCGCATCTGACATCAAAATAAAGAGTCTGGGGGAGTGGGGGTGAGCGGCGGCAAAAGAGTGAGAGACAGTGACGCGCAGATAAGAAGTGGGACTATTGATCTGTCTGCAGAGGCTGAGAGCTTTCACCGAGTCGCAGGAGTCGGCAGAGGGAACGGCGCATGCTGACACACACACACACACACACACACACACACACACACACACACACTGAGTCACATTAAATGAAAGCCACCCACATGTCCGTTGGCCAGGTCGAGCAGGTCCCGCAGTCTGCAGCCCCGCCTGTGCCTCCGCTCATAGCAGATGCTGTTTTCCAACACCACATAGTCGGCTCCAATAGCCTTCAGGATATCGTGTACTTCCTCTGGGGAGCGGCGAGCGTACACTTGATACACCTGTACACACACACACACACACACACACACACATATAAGTATTTCCTGAAAGGAAGCCAATATTAACTTGATATTGCTGGGAGGGGAAAACTTCTCCCCTGGAACTCAATTACCCGACACATTTGTTTTCTGAATTACACTTTATGAAACTTGGTTTATTCCAATTAGGAAACGTTTACTTTGAAAAACAAAAAAAATAGAATGAAAACAATTATGACTCAAACAAAACCCGCCGGGGAACAAGAACTAAAGCTGAAAACATAAATCCCAGCTTCCAGGAAAACTCTCATGGTTCATCTTTTATTTGTAGCAGGCAAAAGATTTAAATGGACAAATTATGCAGCCCATAAATACTGCAAAAACTGGCTAAGAGCTGATTTATTGTAAGGCTAAAACGCAGTGAAACAGCAACTTTTAGAAAGGTTCAAATAAGCTGTAAAAAAAAGCATCAATCCAACTGAATCTCACCTGTGACTGAAATCACACTAATTTAACCACTAAGTGCTGTTTTAGTTTGTTTGTTGGTGTTTTTGGATCATCTTAACGGTGAATATCAAATATACTCACTACATTGTGCTTTCAGTGATTAACCACAATGACACAAGCATGAGCATCTTCCTTTGCAAACGAGCCTAAATCTGTCGGCGATGATGCAAAAATGACGAGCGTTCACTGGAGCCATTTGGAGAGCCCTTCTGTGGCTGGTGATGAAATATGGTGGAAAATCACAATGGAAATAAAGTGACAACTAAATATTAGATATTAAAAATAGTCAAGAACTGACAGAATCTGATACTAAGTGAGGGATGAGTCTAAAAGTACTACAGCGTAGTATCATTGTCACAGTTTATCCTCTCGAGATGATCTCATGAAAAGCTCCGAATCAATATTTAACTGATCCAGCTCTCAGTGTATTTTAAAAAAATATATATATATATATGTCAACTGCTGTAAATAACCAGCTTAGAACAATTCACTGAACCACACTGTGTCACTGAGATGAAGTAAAGCACTGCACGGCCTGGCGGACAAAGTCCTGGCAGCATTATTGTAAAACCCCAGCAGGTTTTCCAGGCAGAGTGTCAGTAAGCATTTTATATTCGAGCATTTGATAAACAAAAATGTGTATTCCGCTCGAGTAAATAAAGAAGTCAACTAACAAAACTGAATCTAAATCGCTGCTGATTTTTTCTTGACTTTTCTTCCTCCGTCTGAACCACAAACGAATTCAAGGAGTCTTTCACGTAGCTGTAGCCTGCAAACACCTGCAACCTACCAAGCTAACGCAGTCTGGACAGTTCAGACGGGGAGGGGGTCGATATCAAACCAATGTCTTGCCAGAGGGCAGTGTTAACAGAAGAAAACGTTAATCGTTTCTCTTGAACTCACAGATTGGTGCTGAGTGAAAGTCCGCTGATGCCAACCCTACAAGCTCCATTTGATCAGCTATGAAAACATGATGCCAAGTCACCAGACACTCAGGAGATAATCAGGGCTGTAGCTGAATATAATAGACCAATACTGGTCTTATCTCCAGTTTTTAAAGAAGAGATGCCTCTTCATTTTTTTGTCGTTTTCCCCTGTGGTGTCAAAAATGGCGTCGACCATTTTGCTTGACTAAGTGGAGTCGTGGCAACTCTTTACGTTGACTGCACGAGAGCTTTTCTGTGGATCGAGATGTATGTAAGAAAGTAATGAGGATGGAACCCTTATGATCAACAACTGCAGTCCTAAAACCTCTTAGTGGGTGCCAAAAGATTCTTGAAGTATCTAAGTCGCAGAATTTTATCAGAAGTGTAAAATAAATTAAAATAAAGAAGCAATCAACCTTCCTTTATTGGTCTTCGAATGCATTTTAATGTTTGAAATGGCTTTGTTCTGCTGATTGAGCCCTACTATTGTTCGGGGCTGCCCTCATGATTTAAAGTGCACTGACATGAAGTCAGTTATGAATTGCTGCACATAAAGTGAACTGAATTGTGCACTATTATCTGTTGAGATTGAAATAGGAGCCAGAAGGCGAACACGATGCAAAGACCACAGAACTGATTATGACTGAAAAGCAGCTCATGTGTGAGCAAAAACGAACCTATTGTAACAACACGACAAAAGGATATAATCGACTACAGCAGTGTGGATTTCTCTGAAGAAAAAAAACATGCTTGACTTGATGGTTTAGCAAAAGGGTTATAATAAAATCAAGTTTTCCTAATTGAGGTTCAATTTACTTAGATGTAATACAATTTTCCAATCAGATGGTCATAAAAGAGGAAAATAAACCAATTTCTGTCAAATGATGAAATTTCAATTCTGCTTTATGGCTATAGCACCAGTTCACAGCGGCTTTCTCTGAGTGCTGTAAATCTTTAAGACCCCAGAATATTAGAAAAGAGAACCCCAACAGTAAGATGATCCCTTAGCAGTAAGCATTTGTGGGGAGGAAGTTGAGGAGAGGGTAGACAAATATACAGGATAGCAACACATGGGGATGACAAAGTTCTCGAAGCATCATAGGAAGTTCCCGAGCAGCTTGAGGTTATATGTAGATTGTATAAAAGGAAACACTACGTCCACACGTACACGGGTATTTTTAAAAACGGAGATTTTACGTTTTCGTTTTAAAAAAATAATCCCGTCCACACATAAAGGCAGAAATGAAGGAAAACGCTGCTATGAACATGCCAAAGCAGCAGGTGGCGCTAGATTCCTAACCGTGCAGAAATGTTGGCCAATCAGAAGTCTAGAAGCCTCGGTGGGAAAAAGTAAACAAAGCTGGGGCATAGAAGCAGAACCGAGTCGTATGTGTGGACGGACAGTAACTGTGTGTGTATGTAAGCATTTAAACACTGCAGAGAGTAGAATTAACAGTAACAGTATTGTAGAAATTCATTTCACCGAAACAATAACGTGGCGCACAGTGTGACGTCAAAAAAGGCGCACACCTTTGACGCTGCGTTTTCTGTGTTTTTCTCATCCACACGTAAATGCAAAAACTGAGTTTTCAAAAATATCCACCCTGGCCGGAGTTTTTAAAAATCTCCGTTTTCAGTGACCAAAAAACGCCGTTTACGTGTGGACGAAAGGTGCAAATGCATAGAAAAACCTGCGTTTTCAAAAATACCCGGGTACGTGTGGACGTAGCCTCAGACTGGAATTTGCTATTAAGAGTAACTTCAAAGACAAATAAAAAAAAAAAAGTTTACAAAAGTAAAGGAAACCCCAAAGTGTGTATGAAAAGCAGTAAGTACACATGGAAATCCCATCAGTATATCTGTGAAACATGGAGGTCATGTCATGGTTGGTGGTGTGCTGCTGGCTGTGGCACCTGCTCGCTCTTTATTGATGATGTATTGCATGAATTCAGAAGTAATCCGTAAACGAACCGCACTTATAGAAAGCCTCTTCTGTCCTTATTGACCGCTTAAAGTGCTTTACTACGGTGGCCCTGAGAGGCCAAATGGACTGCAACTTCAGAAAACACTTGCAAAAAGAAAAATGCTGCAAAAAGAAAAAAATGCTGTTTTCTGAAGTTGCAGTCCGTTTGGCCTCTCAGGGCCACCGTACTTTACTCTCCAAACTACATCCATCACATAGTTTAGGATGTTGCCCGTGGTTACTTGAACATGCAGGCTGAGGATGCTGGAGATCAAACCACTGACCTTCTCATTAGTGGACTACCTACCATTGTGTGCTGTAAAGAAAGAAAAACTATGGCTATATAAAAGGACCCCCTCAAATCTCATTAGCTCGTTCTTTATCCTGCAGCAACCACATAATAGATTTTATTGCTTTTTATTTCCACTGACATGTCTGGAAAAAGAGACTGAAACTTGCTTTTCCTAAAAATGTTTTTGTGTGAGAACTAAGTCAAAATCAGTATCGCCCCCTCAGCTCAGATTTGTTAAAGAATACACTCTGTACAGTTTTTTTGTACAAAAAAGGTGATTCCCCAAAATTCCCAATTAGAGGACAAAAGAAGACGTGGCAGACCTAAAGGACTATCTACAACAGATGAACAGCATCTGAGGAGAGAGACACCACAGTGAGTGTCTACAGGTTCTGGATTTTAGTCAGTGACGTTGTGCATCTTGTCAAACTTATGAATACAGAGAAGAACCATCAGATTGCTGAAACTGAAAGCAAGCATGCAAGGCAAAGGCTTCATTTTCAGCTGCCAATTCAGCAAAAGCATATCCGGACAGAAAACACACAGATAAACATCATCAGTCATGGACTGACCTCCTCAACATCACCGAAGCACTGTGGGATCCTCTTGACCGAGAACGGGAAAAAGGGCAGAAACATGCAAAGAAAAGCTCTGGGTGTCTATGTCTACTATTTCTGAAGAGTACTTAAAGGAATTACAAGAGAGCGCGCCTAAGAGAGTTTGTCTGTCTTAAAGGTAAAGGTGGTCGTTAGTATTGCATAAACTCTGTTTTGCTTTATATACTGTTTCCAGTATTTTGCCATGTTACGATAAATCACTATAAAACTCTTTATCCCATTTTTCTAGTAAAATACAAAGATTGAGGGGTGGCTCAAGACTTTTGCACAATACTATAGGTATGCAAATTAATATAGAACGGACTACAGCGGGTGATGGGAATACCTATACCTGTTGTCCATTAATGAATAATGTTGCAGTGACATTTATCTTGCACAAGAAGTGGGACCATGTTTTAAAAGACATTTATGCAGTTTTCTTCCATAATAACAAAGAAAACAGAGCTACGTTTGCACAGCTGTCTTCATGAGGACATTCACTTCTAACACCTTACCTAAACCTAAACAAACTCTAATCCTACAACAGAGTCTTAACCCTAAAACAGCCTTTTGATAAGGACCAAAATGTCTTCACTCTTCCAAAATATTCTCACTCCAGTGGTCTAAAACTCAGCCTGGTCCTCATAAAGATAGCTGGACACAGATAAAGCCCAGTAGGCCTGAACTAGTGTCGTGGTCCATTAATGAGCTCCATACTAGGCTCGAGCCTCGCCAGC